TCAGTTCCCCTTTTTTTTTTTTTTTGAGACAGATTCTTGCCATGTAACCCACGCTGAGATGAAACAATTCTTCTGCAGCCTCCTGAGTGCTGGGATTATACACGTGAGCTACCATGCCCACCTTTCTTCATTTTAAATATTGTCTCAACTCACTGTTAAGTTACTTCAGAACAAAGCTAAAAATCTTTTAAAAATATGCTGAAAGAGATTAATGCTCTCAAATTTCATTTAAAACTTTCTATTACCTGTTTTTTATATTTAACATCTTCTATGAACATGTAAAACATAAATTCCATTTATCCCTAAATATGTCCTACATAACTGTTCTTAATTTGGAGAACTGGAGAAGAAAATATTTATCATAGCTTTACTTTTGTCTACAAACATTTTGCTTATTTATTTATTTTGGTTTTTTTGAGCTAGGTCTCACCACGTATTTCAGACCAGCATTAAACTCACTATGTAGCCTAGGCTGGCCTCAAATTTGTGACAATTATCCTGCCTTGGCCTCCAAAGTTTTGGGACACGCCAGGCTTTACTTAAATATTTATGTTTATAGTAATAACACTTCTGAAAAACTAACTGTTAAAAAAAACAGATAGGAGGAAACCATTTAATAGGGCAAATATTTTCTGTATATCATAACAATTGCAGCTAAACTTTATTTGGGAAAGATCCTGCTACCCTTACTTTGAGAGCCCTCATTGCCTGTAGAGAGCTACTGGAACAACAACCACTAAGAAGCTTTAAATGTATCCAATTTAACCTGGCCTACTGATAACTGTCAGAAACATCAAAAAAGAACTATGATACACAATAAAAACATTTTAAAAAGACTTTCATGTCCTCTCAAATAAGAAAAAAATTTGAAAAAACTTAAGATAGTTAAAATAAAGGTCTTAAAAATATCCACCTCCAGTATTTTTTTTTGAGCATGAAAAATTATTTTTATGACAAAACTTCCAATAAGAATTGTTAAAGTATATTATTAGTAGGCATTCTTAACCTTTCTATGAGATGAATTTTTAAATTTATGGAAAGAATCTTAGTTGCCCACCAATTCTAAAGTCTAAAGATTTCATTTGTATGAACATATTGTTTTGATTTTGTGCAAACTCCTGAAATAAAATTTCAACAAAGATCCAAGGAGCAGACAATTTTCACATTTTTTTTCCGCAAGTTGGTTGATATTATTCTTAGAGGCTGACAGCATAAAAAATGCAAGAATACCTGGGGAATTAATTGCATATAAGCCCATCTCTAGACTCATGAGTAAATTTTCAAAGAAGTGTTGAAGTATGGGGAAATGCTCATGATATATTAAGTGAAAAGAAATTAGCTCTCAAAACAGCATGAATGATAAAGCCATGTGCAGTGGTGCAGGCCTATAATCCTAGCTGCTCAAGAGGCTGAGGCAGGAGGAT